AAACATCACAACAGACACCAGAAAGATACAGAACATTATAAGGGAATACTTTAAAAACCTATATGCTACTAAATTTGAAAGCCTAAAAGAAATTGATGCATATCTAAAGGCATGGGAACCACTACAACTAAACCAAGAAGAGATTAACAGTGGCAGGGATAGCAGAGTATGGAGGCTCTAGTGGGAGAGGAAGGCTGTCTACCTGACGAGTTTGTATTCATGCTCAGATGCCGAGGAGCTCAGAAGGTGGGTGACTGTGACCAGTGATAGTCATGTATATAGAGATTGGAAATGCATGTGAAAACTTCTCAATGTCAAGAGCCCTGGAATGAATTTTTCTGTATGAAACTGTGTGTTTTGACAATGAAGTGGAGATCTTTTTTAAACGTTGGGACCTCATTTAATTTTATGTCTTACAGAGTTTATAATGAGTAAAAGACTATACAAGCGTAATAATTCATCTGTAAACCTAAAAATATACAGCCAATTTTGAAAGAGATGTACCCTAGCTCAGAAAAATGTTATTGAACAGGTTAATGCTGTTGTAATGAAATGCTTCTTCTAATAAAAAAAAGCTAAAAAAAATCATTTTAATTTTTATTATTTTGTTGTTGCTATAAAACATTTTCATGTGAGCAAGGTGGCCTTGAAAGCCTGGTCCTCCTTTCTCTGCCACACAAAGGCTGGGATGACAGGCCTGTCTCACTGTGTCTGATCTTCTGTCATTTATGTCTTGAGTGATATATATTTATTTTTTACTAGGATTTGGATGCAATCAAGTGGCTTTTTCTTTCTAAGGAACTTAGAGATAAAAAAGCCTTTTAGTGATGAATTGATAATTAATATTTCTATATTCTGTAAATTTTAAAGAATAGGTTTTTTTTTGGTCTTTTTGAGGCACTGTCTTCCTGTAGCCCCAGCTAGCCTGAACTACCTATGTAGACCAGGCTGGCCTTCAATTTACAGAGATCTGCCTGGCTCTGCCTCACGTGTGCTGGGATCAAAGGTGTGTGCCATCATGCCTGGCTTTTACTAATAGAATTTTTTAAAAAATGAACACAATTTACCTCAATGTAAGTCTCAATTGTAAATAATTGCCCATTATGTTTCTTGTTCTACAGCAGTTTGACAGCATTGAATTTAAAACATCCAAGAGGAATGTGTGCATTTTTGACTTCAACAAGAATAGACGATAGTGACTGCAGTAAAACCTACCCGTGCATCTGTGAAAAGAGAATGAACACGTTCTCTGATTCAGTGTGCAACAAGAAGGAAAGGTAAACAGAGAACATTGTCATTTTTGTGTTTCCTGTAGTAGTCTGTGACTGCTCACAGTGAGATGTTTCTGACCACAGGATTTAGTCAACTGGGCAAACAGGGAGGAGCTGGAGGAGGAGGGTAATGACCTGGAATCTGACTTACCAGATTATAGCCATTTTCCTTCCTGGAGGAGACAGAGCAGCTTGTCTGGAGGGTGGGCATCATTTGCTTCAAGGTCCAGAGGAATGACTCTTTCTGTGTCCCGATTCACCCACAGAACCAAATAAAACATCCTGATAGATATTTCATTACAATAGGATTAATAAAATCAATATCTTTTGGCTTTGATGACATGGTTTCTACAGTATACCTGTGTTTCTGTTTATTTTTTGGTTACTTTGTGTTATTTTTTGCATTTAGAAAATGTCATCATCTTTAAAAACATTTTTTCCATTAAATATAATTTCAAACTTGATGAATAGTTCAAGGAACTCTGAAACAAGCCTTACCAATAATCATAGGTTATTTATATTTTCCATGGTTTCTAGCTTGTCTCTTGCTGAACCATTTGTAGATACAGTGATTCTAATTGAGGCCAGCTAGATGTGCTGGCTCAGGCTTGTGCTCTTAAAGTGCATAAGGTTGAGGTCAGCCTATGCTACATAGCACATTTGAGGTTATCCTGGACTACAGAGTAAGCACCTATCTGGAGAATGCTAATAATAATAATAATAATAATAATAATAATAATAATAATAAATGTTATTATTATGGTAATACCCAACCTGTACTTAAATATTCTCCAAGGACAAGCAATTTCTCCTATAAAATTGTACTAAAATGATCAAACCCAAGATATTCAGTACTGATGTTGTAATGTGTTCTCATCCATAACCATATTCATATTTGTCAATTTTTTTTATAATGATGTCACAGTCTTTTTTTTCTCCATGTTCAGGATTATGAAGTGTCTGCACCTGTGATTTCCTTTTAAGTGATTTTTAGTGATGAGCATTTATTTACTTATGATTTGTTATTTTGGCTTTGACATTGTAAATATCGTGCCTCCTTCTGTTTGAGGATTTCATACATGAACACACTATGTGCACATCATTTCTATCATTTCTACTCACTTCTTCCCTCTCCAACTTGTTCCCTGTTCCTCCAGCTACCTCCTCAAACCAAACCAAAACCAAAATCAAAACCAAAATAAATTGGTTCTCCTTCTCTCAGCATCCCCTGACTGCCTGTAGCGCTTCATCTATGGTGTGTCCTTGTCAAATATTTCTTTAACTGTTTTGGCATGTCGATGGGTGCTTGGCCTTTGCATGTCTTGTTCATGGGAGCAAGGTTCTCGTGTTGTTCATAAGAAGCTATAACACAGCAATTGTTTTGAGCTTCAGGCTCTTTTACTGTCCCCTTCTTCCATGATGCTTCCTTATATTTAGGGAAACAGAATGTTGTATCGATGTCCCATTAGGGACTGGGCTCCCCATGGTCATTTATCTTCTGCATTTTGACCTGTTGTGGAACTATCAGCCTTCAACTGCTGTGAAAATAAACTTCTTTGATAAGATGTGAGAGCTGCATTTATATATAAGGATGAGTAAATAAAAGGCAGCTGGAAGATATGATAGTGAAAGGTTCTACTCTAGGGCCGATAACCTCTCCATCCAGGGGTTCTTGGCTAGCTTTATACTAGCAGGCATTAGTTCCCTCCAAGTTAGGGCCTTTAAGGTTCAGTTAGATAATTACTTATTGCTTCCAAGGTACAAGTGTCACTATTGTACAGCAGGGTTATCTTATTAGACCTGTCATTGTGTTTCTCAGGCATCACGGAAAGGTTCTACTCTAGGGCCGATAACCTCTCCATCCAGGGGTTCTTGGCTAGCTTTATACTAGCAGGCATTAGTTCCCTCCAAGTTAGGGCCTTTAAGGTTCAGTTAGATAATTACTTATTGCTTCCAAGGTACAAGTGTCACTATTGTACAGCAGGGTTATCTTATTAGACCTGTCATTGTGTTTCTCAGGCATCATGGCTGGGTAGAACATTGGTTACTTTTCTCCCCTAGCATCTTGTATACCACCTTCCAACACTATGAAAACTCTCAAGGTAGAGGTTTCCATATCATTACTAGGTTGATTTCTCCAGGTCCTTTGTCCAAAGTGTGTGGTGTCTTCAGCAACAGGATGTTACCTTGATGTTCTGTAGGGCAACCAAGAGCAAGTCAGTATCCATATTGTTTTGCAGATCTTGGAGCTCCCTGACTAATATCCCCAAGGGAGGTATCTCATGCCTTTAAATGATGTTTTGTTAGACAGTCTATAGCTCCAGGGGTTTGCATTATGCCATTGTGTGGGTTAACATCATTAAAATTATATATATATGTTTTGGTGTGGTAGTCCATGGCTTTAATCCCAGCACTCAGGAGGCAGAGGTAGGAAGATCTCTGTGAAATCAGAGATACCTTGTCTCGAAACACACACACACACACACACACACACACACACAAAGTGATTTTTTTTTACCTTATGAATTTGGGTGCCCTCTTTCTTTTTTGGTCTTTTTGAGGAGACAGCATCTCTCTGTAGCCCCAGCTGGCCTGGAACTCACTATGTAGACCAGGCTGGCCTGAAACACAGAGACCTACCTGCTTCTGCCTCCTGAGTGCTGGGATCAAAGGCATGCACCGCTATGCTTGGCATTTCTCTTTCTTTTCATTTATGCAGCTCAGGGTCCGTCACACCTTTATTTTTAAAACCAGTTTTTAGATTCATTAATTTTATTTGTTTTTATTTCATTAAGTTCTGCCCTAATTTCTATTATTTCTTCCCGTATACTTGCTTTGGGTTTGTTTCTGAAATGGCAGAACTAACTCTATTTTGTTCTAGCTGACTTACTTTACCCTGTGTTTTTGCCCAGCCATTCCCACTGTGGCCATCCAGGCTGATCATCTCATGCAGGTATTTTCAGGTAGTACAATGATTCTACAATACTGAGAAACTTACGATTTGCCAGGTAGGCGGTCCAGATAGAATGTCCTCCCTCTCAGCTCTACCTACATCTGTATGGTGCCAACTGTTTCTGGATTCTGATAAACTTGTTTTTTTGATAACCAAAAGTTTTTGTTAATTGTATATCTCTTTGTTAACTGACCTGCCCCTGGTCTGGTGTAACTATGGTGATCTGATGTAACTATGATTATTGTCTTTACCCCTGTTATGACGTAATTGTGGTTTTAAGCTTTATAACCCTTGCCCTGCTTCTCCTTTGGGTCAAGATTTTTCTTGGTCATGAGCTCCCTCTCTGAACACTGGCTTGCTAGCTAGCTTACAGAGGACTCCTAATTTGACTACCGCTATGTGCTGTTCCTCTGTGCAGTTTCGCTCAGTGTTACATTTTCCAAAACACTTGAGGTACATCACTAATCCATTTATTTGTGTTTTTCTGATTTTTTTTTACATGCAGCTAACTAGAGATATAAATATCCTTCTTAGTACTCCTTTTAATGTGCCTGAGAATTTTGGTGTAATGTGTTTTCATTTATTTTTCAGAGGTTTAAAAATGTTTCCTTCTTGATTCATTTTGTGACCCATTCCTCACTGAGAAGTGTGTTTTCATGTGCTTATTGGTCATTTTGTTTTTTTCTTTGTCAAGTGCCTTTCCATTTTTGCTTCTTTTTTGGATGGGTTTATCTGTCTTCTAATTACAGCACTGTAAATGTTCTTTATGTGGTTTCAATCCAAATCCCTTGTTAGATGTATGTTTAATAAATCTGTTTACCTATATTATCTTGCCTCTTTATGTTCTGAACTATATCATTGAAGAAGTTTTAAAAATGTTTGAGGCCTGATTTATCATTTTTCATGCATGACTTGCATATTTAGTTCATACCAATGTCAGTTTAATTATTTTATTTTTTTGATATATTAATTTATGTGTGTTTCTGTGAACATGTTTTCCAGGTATATGCAGGTGGCTGCAGAGGATCAGAAGGGCTCAGATCCCCTGGAGCTGGAGTTACAGGCAAATGTGAGCCACCCAACTTGGTGGCTCACATTGATATCAGGTCTTCTGGAAGAGCTGGGAGCACTCTTACTCACTGAGCCATCTCTGTAGCCCCCTCAAGTTATTGTTTTTGAGCAAAGTTTTGAAGTTCACCATGATTTCCCTGTGGCTATCTCGGTTTTTGCTGTATTTGTTGAAGTACTGTCTTCCTTCCACTGAACTACTTTGGTAACTTTCTAAAAAATAAATTGATGGTAACTGTTTGGGTCACTGTGTGAATTTTTATTCTGTCTCAGTGATTTATGTCACCAATCTTGGAGTGACACAGGTCCCACTTCACATGTCTAACCCCTGCAGTGAAATCCACTGATGCTCTGGAACTGGAGTCACAGACAGATGTGAGCTATGTGGCTATCAATTTTAAAAAAAGATTTTTCTGTTTTTAATATGGGGATAATATTGGCTTTATTTTTATTTGGAAGATGTATTTATCTTCTCCCTATATTTTGAGAGTTAAATTCTTGGTAGAGTTTATATTTCATTTTCTTAAAGCATGGATCAAGATTGTAAATGGGATGATGATCTGGACCTGGCAATCTCTTTGTGAAAAGGTATTTACCTAATTAGGAATAACATTTCTTTAATGGACTTAGGGCTGGTTAGACATTCTATATACTTCTGTTAATTTTGGTAACTGTTTCCTTTTAAAATATCTGTGCTTTTAAATAAATTTTCAAAACCATGTTATTTTATTGTGTTAGATTCCTAGGGATGCACTCACAAAGACCACAAACTTGGGACTTAAAAGAGCAAATATGACTTCTCTTTCTCTTACAGTCCTCAGATTTTGGGTTGTTTGACTGCTTTTTGGTTTTGGATGGACAGGATCTCATAGACCAGGCTGGCTTCAAACTCACTGTACAGTGGAGGATGTCTTTGATCTCTTGATCTTCCTGTCCAGACTTCCTAAGTACTGGGATTATAGTTGTGCAAGCAAGCCCCCTCCCGAACCATTGAAGGCCAGATGTGTGCTGTTTTCTCTGGTCTGGACATGCCCATTGCCATCTCTTGAAACAGAGAAATTGTGATGATGCACAGAAGACTCTCATGCAGTTGAACCCAACTAACTTTCCTTTGTGGAGGGAGAGAGAGAGAGTAAGTGTTTCAACAAGCCTCACTTTGGTGACTTCAAAAAATCCTTTGTATACTTATTCCCAGTTTATATAATAGGTAAACAATGGACTTAGGGGAGACTCCATTAATACCTGCCTGTCAGTTGCCAGTGATACAGCTTTTTCTGGACTGCCTATGTAGATTATATTTTTGTTCCACATTTGTTTTTGTTTGTTTGTTTTGTCTTGAAGATAGGATCTTGCTATATACTTCAGTCTGGACTGGAACTTGCTTTGTAAAAGAAGCAGGCCTTGAGTTGTGGCAATCCTCCAGATTCTGCTTCCTTCCCACATGCTGAGATTACAGGTGTGGGTCACCATGTCCACATCCCTCCCCATCTATTAAATGTCAGAACATTTGTGGCTGAAATAGAAATTTCATTGCAGCATGAATATCCTTATTTTCTGGATGAATTTTATTAATTGTATTTCTCTGCTGCTTTTTTGTTTTTTTTTTTCATTCAAATACTCAATATTATAATTGGAGATAAAAATATTTATTTTACTACATCAACAATATGTTGTTTTATTGATGTAATCACTTAAAGTGAGTATGTTAAAACTTTTTGGCAAAGTTACGCTTTGGGATTATTCAGTCGTACCCAGCAGGTCATTATTCAGATGTCTTTCTTATTTATAAGTCACTAAAGACTTGTTATTTTATTGGTCAAAGAAGTTACCAGATTATTCTACTCACTGTGAAAAATAATTTATTTCAATATTATGCATAATGTACAAATTTTGTGTGCTCTTTTGCATAAACATTTGGATAGAGTTCCGTAAATTAAATTAGTACTTGGAAAAAATATCAAAGTATCGTATCTACTTATGTGCTCTCAAGTTCCATGCCTGCGCTGAGCTTTTGTAATTCATATCATTGTCATTTCTGGCGTGAGTTATTTGTTCACACTCCTTTCCCTCAAAATGCCCCATCGTGTTTTCATTTTTTATCTTATACAAAATCATAACTTAACTGCTTCATGAGTTGAATGGAAGTTGTTAGAATTCAGGCTGAAAAGGCAACGTGATAAAGAAGTAGAAATGGAATTCGATCTCAGCAGACGTGGATAGCTTTATTAGCTATGAAGGACAAGCAGCCTTCCCTCCCTCAGGAGTGGAGGTTGTGCATAGAGGTTCTGAGAAAACTGGAATTTATAGGGGTCCAGAAAATCCCAGAAGGTGGGTCATGACTTCTTGGGTGATGTCATTATCCTTCCCAGAATCTGGGGAGGAGAGACAGGCAGTTCATAGAGGGGAAACAGATATCTTCTGCAAAGGGTTTGATAAGGAACTAGATGTCTTCTGCAAGGGATTTGATAAAGAACAAGATTTCCACTTAGTGCTGCCAATGTGTGCATGGGTGTAGGGAAGTCTATGGAACATGGATAGCAGCTCAGGAGTTACATCCTAGAAGAAGTGAGTCTCCCATTCCCAGTAACCATCAATATTGCTTGTCAATAAGAAGTAACATGTCATGCCCTGTTCTCTGATTCATGCCAGGATTTTTGGCCACTTGAGCTTATACAGGTCTGGTGCATCTAATCAAAGCTGCTGCGAGTTCACATGTGCAATAGGCATGTCATGTTCTTAATATACAGCTTTGTTGCAGATGGCCTGTACTCTGCTCTCTCAATCTATCTTCCACCTTTCTGTGATGATCCTCAAGACTTGAAGAGAGGGAGTGTGATAGATGTGTCATTTAGAGCTAAGCACTCCATAGCCTCTTACTCTCTGTATGTTGACCTGCTGCAGGTCTCTACATTAATCACTATGTATTGCAAAAGAAGTTTCTCTGTTGAGGCTGGAGAGATGCTCTAATATATGGGTATAAGGATAAGAACTTCCCATGATATTAGCAGAATCATAGTATTAGATACTCCCTTAGGGGTTGTGACTAAGCCAGCCATGGATTTTTGGTTCAGTTAATGGTATCAAGCATGATTTTTATCTTGTGAAGATAGTTTTAAATCCAATTAGAAAGTGGTTGGTTACTCTGATAATATACATGCCACTATTGCACTGGTGCATATGTCCTTCAAGGTTCATCATTTCTGCCACTTGCAGGGTTCACACTCAGGTAAGATTATTGATTTCTTTTCTACCATGGAAGCATGCAGAGAAACTTCTAGTACTATGAAACCTATCCACAATCATGAAGTTTCCAGATTTGTACCAGCTTGATTTCTCCATGGTCTATGACTGAAGTATATATTATTTTCAGCAATAGGGTCTTACCATGAAATTCTGGAGGGTAACCAAGAGCAATGACAACAGCCTGCAATATTTTTGTGGCCCCACTGACCAACAGCTCAATAAGAGTTAATCTGTTCTTGGGAGTGGGATTTTTATTTGAAAGCCAGTTACATCTGAGAGAGGCATTATTCCCCTGTTCTGTGATAAATCCATTTAAACCTCTTTACTATATGTATATATTTAGGAAGTTTCTATGGTAGTAGGTTTCCATATGCCTTTTTCAAAGATGTTTGGTGTTAGCCCTCTTCATACTCCTCTTCTAACCTTCCCTCCCATTCCCCACCACATTTCACCTTTCTTTGTCCATTTTCTCCTTTCTCTCTTCATTCCACCTTGTGTTTTATCTCCCTTCTCTTGAAATCACCACCCCATGTCCACTAATACCCCCTCAAAAGCCCCCACAAAAGGCTCAGGACTTTTGTGGAAGAGGTTGCCAGAAAAAATGTAAGAGCCAGAGGAAGGGGTGGAGTGTTAACTGAAAATGTCCTCTGACCACCATGCCAGCAAGCTATAGTCACATCTACTTCCCCCTCTCATCAAGGAGCTGAGGAGGGAGTGAGTTACTCCTCCCACCCAATCAGTTGACCTTAGGTGCTTGCAGGGGGAGGGGAAAGGGTATATAAGCTGAGAACCTCAAGTGGCACCTCTCTCACAATTTCCTGTGGCTGTTGGGAGGTCACTGGATAGTATTTGGGTATGGACTCTACGGTGCTGTCATAAATATGGGGTGCCCACTCTTTTGTAAATAAACCGCTACCCTCTGTGCTGTTAAAAAATTCACACCCCTTTCCAGTGTTGGAGAAAAAATTCACACCCCTTTCCAGTGTTGGAGTCTGGAGACCATGTGCAGACACGGCACTTTGAAAGGGATCGGAAAAGAGGGAAGAACAAGTGACCACCCTTGGACCGCAGGTGGCTGAAGGAGAGAACATATCTGGTTTCTACCACATATTTGCTTCCTCCAATGATACTTTTATCCATGTCACAGATCTTTCCAGCAAGGAAACCATCTGCTGAGTGACTGGTGGAATGAAGGTGAAGGCTGACCAAGATGAGTCTTCTCCATATGCAGCCAAGTTGGTTGCTAGGATGTGGCCTGGAGGTATAAGAAGCTATATATCTCTGCCCTGCATATCAAACTCGGGCCACTGGCAGAAACAGGACCAAAATCCCTGGAGCTCAATCAGCCGCTCTGGCTTGCTCAGGGATGAATATTGGAAGAACTGAAGGTGTCACTCCCAACCCCTCTGACAGCACTTGCAGTAAATTGGTCGCCATGGTTGCCATCTGAAAACAAGACTTCTGAGATTATTTTCTGTTAATAAATTGCTTCCTATAAGCTTTTTTCATAAAAAAAGTTCACATCCTTCTCTCCTGTGCATAAAATGCTTCCCAAACAACTGCCTGCCCCCAAACCAAAACAAAACCAAATAAACAATCAAGTGATAAAATTAGGGATCCTGGGGGATTTTAAATATTTTAATATTTGGTGCAGGACTTGAAATGTTTAGTTTTCAGTCTCATTGAACTAGACTTCAAGGTTAAACCAATTTAGACCACATGTTTCTGAACTTACTTGTTTATTTACTTAGGCGATGCCTAGCAGTGACAATTTTTGGATTTTCAAGAATGTGAAACTTAACATATGTAAGCAGAATATGTGCAAACAAACCAGCCTTCATGGTTTTCTTCACTCAGATTCAATGGGTTGATGGTTCCCATGCCAATAAGTTCTGTGAAAAAAATTGTACTAAATTGAAGCCTGTATGTAAATGGCCTTTA